TCTCGATTTTCTTTCCAAAAGCACGTGCACATCGTGACCAGATCGGAGGATAATTTTTTACGTTTTTTACAATCCTACCTCTTATGTTGCTTATGAGTCCCACTCGTGCGACGAAACACATCGGGCTTGGCTACGCTCGTGTAAATTCACACGAGTGTTGCTAAGCTCGATTTTTTTCGTTTTTTTTTTCGGATTCGTAATCTACATAACAAGAGGATCGTAAAAACGTAAAAATTACCTCCGATCTGTTGACGATTTGCACGGGCTTTGCGAAAGAAAATCGAGAGGGTTGAGAGAGTTTTTTGAGATTTTTACCTTTTGGTTTTTGAGAAATGGTAAAAAATGTGCCTGAATGTTTAATTTATGCCTGCACAAATCATTTCAGTACTCAAATTATATATTTTCAGAAATTACTTTTCCATCTTTGCATAAAATTACATAAAATCCCCTGTTATTATTAAAAAAAATTGCAATAATCCCTATTTATTTGGGAGTATAAATTATTGAAGTGAACAAAAAAAAATTGACAATATTTAGTTAGAATTCTATGGATAAAATATAGTTTTAATACAACTCAAATAGAAAATTATTAGACTTTGATTGGGGATATGGTTTTGTTTGTACTATTTTTTATATTTGAACTTTCAAAGCCCAATACTGATTACTGGGCCCTGGCCTACATGTGTTTGGGTATTTGATAGCTTGAAGTTCAGCCTAACATGTTCGAAAGCCCAAACACGTGATTCATTATCTTATTACTTTTTTTTCTTTTTTCTTTTTTTTTTTTGTTATGAAAACACAAGTGATGGCAAGAAACTTAAAAAATAAATGAAAGCTACTTCAACTACCTTCAGATTTTCATGATGGAATTCAATTGACTTTAGGCATGAGTAGGATTCTTACAAAGAATAAATATTCCAAATCTGTATCACGTCCATAAATATCTCCATCTAAACGCTAGTCCTCATAGCATCTTTGAGGCTCATAAAAGACAGAATGGCAACAAGTACTTCATCAGGCAACTCATCTATGGTAACATTATTATTCGTAACACTAAGTCGCTTAATTGTAAAAAAAAAAAAATTGATTTAGTAGCTAAATCATTTCAAAGCATTTCGATGAGAGGGACCCTAAATCTTTTCGGTCGAAAGAAGAGAGCGGAAATGCATCGCCAGATTTTAATGCGTATTGAGATTATAATGTGCATCAAGATGATTTTAGCACTGTACCGGCAAGTGAAAATGGATCGGTTAGTCCAAGTTCCGACCGCGCGATTTTGGCTGCACATCTTCAGCCGAGTTCTTGTCCACCTTGAAAAGAAAAAACATATAAAATGTGTAAATATAGTACATTTTCTTTGTCTACCAATTGAACACTACGGCTGAGAATGCGAAATTTTACAAACATTGTTTCCGATTTTTCATTTTTTATTGGGTTTTGTATATATGAATTGGTGAAGTAATCTGACAAAAAGATTGTATATTTACCGGGTAAATAATCGTTCAGTTGGGCAGAAAAATGAAAAATCAATTCTTAATTCCAAGAGATTTTGAATCCCTCAATATGATCGAATGCTGGTTTATTTCTTGCAGAAAAAACTCATCACTAATTCATGAAAATGACGCACTAAATTCTCGTTTCTAGAAATGAAAGAAAATGCTGAGAAACTGTCCTATCTATATTTAATTGCCTACCAAATAATAGGATATGTTATAATCTGAGTAGACTTTTAACAATTCAAAATAAAATTATGCTAATGAATCTTTCTACCCTTCATTTTTTTTTGTTTAATGAAACTTTATCGATTCAACTTAGTTAATTGTTCCTTCGTATATGTATGTGTGTATACATGGGGATTGCCTGATCAAGAAATAAGATCAAAATTGCAGAACATGAAAATGCATTTATTCATCTCTCTCTCACTACTTAGTCTATTTCTATCATTGTGCAATTCACAGCGAAATACTACCTTTCAAGTTGGTGTGATTCTTGATGCAAATACCGCAAACGGACGCATAGGCAACACCAGCTTGTTATTAGCTCTCTCCGATTTTTATTCAATTAACTCAAGTTACGCGACAAGAATCGTGCTTCATCCAAGGGATTCGGGACCTCAAGTAACCGTTGCTGCAGCTAGTGGTATCTAATCCTTCCCTTCTGCTCCATTTTTTGTTCTGTTTTTGTTTGTATTGATTTATTAAAGCTATAGATGCTAATCTTATTGTCTCCCCTAGTTGACCAAACCATTCTTTGTCGAAAAATACTCGCTTGTTTTATGTTTGTGTGACTCTCACATGATTATCTATCTCCCGTTGGATATATGCATGCAGCGCTCAATTTGTTGAAGGATGTGCAAGTCGATGCCATTATTGGTCCTCAATCATCTACACACGCAAACTTTGTGTCTGGTCTTGGAAATGCAGCACACGTGCCCGTCATTTCTTTCACGGCAACCAGTCCTTCTCTCAGTCAACCTCCCTATTTTTTTCAAGCAGCCATAAATGATGCTGCTCAAGTTGATGCTATTGCTGCCATAGTTAAGTACTTTCACTGGAATCAAATTATTTTTGTGTATGAAGATTCAGACTATGGTAATGGCATTATACCTTACCTGTCTAATGCATTTCAACAAGTAAATGCTCGAGTTTCGTACAGAAGTGTTATCCCATTAATCTTGGAAAATAATTCCATCATTGATCAAGAGCTAGACAAGATGAAAAATATGCAGACAAGGGTGTTTGTGGTGCATACTACAACCCTTCTTGCTTCTCAAATCTTCCTCAAGGCAAAGGAAGCGGGAATGATGAGTGAAGGCTATGTCTGGATAGTGACCACCAGTATCATGAATTTGTTTTATTCTCTGAATTCAAGTGTTCAGGAGTCTATGCAAGGAGTTCTTGGTGTAAAACCCCTCGTTCCAAGTTCGCCTACACTCAATTCTACAACTATAAGGTGGAAGAAAAAGTTTGCAGAGATTAATCCAGGAACTCCTGTACCACGAGAGATCAACCTTTATGGGTTGTGGGCATACGATACCTTAAGCGCATTGGCTCAAGCTGCTGAGAAAGTTGGATTCAGGGAGCCAAGTTATTTGCAGAACACAAGTGCAATTAACTATACCGACATATTTATTACTGGAACATCACAAAGAGGTCAGAATCTTCGGGGAGCAATGTTGGAAACCGATTTCAAAGGACTCTCTGGGAATTTCACATTGGTTAATGGGAAACTAGAGCCATCACCCTTTCAAATAATGAATGTAAATGGAAAGGAGCTTAGAGAAGTTGGATCGTGGACACCATTATTGCAAAGTTCAAGTCGAATGAATGCGAACACGGCAATTTTTCCAAAGAATATTACATGGCCTGGAGAATCGACGAATGTACCAAAGGGTTGGGAGGTCTCACCAAGTGGTAAAAAGCTTAGAGTTGGTGTTCCAGCAAAAGCTGGTTTTGACGAATTTGTAAAAGTAGAAATGGATCCTCAAACAAATAGTAGTAATGTGAGTGGATTGTATATAGATTTGTTTAATTATGTCATGGCAGCACTACCGTATGTAGTCCAATATGAATATGTCCCGTTTGAAACATCGGATGGCACAAGTGCGGTGAACTACGATAGTTTGGCGAACCAAGTATTCATTGGGGTAAAGTAATCAACACCAAGATTGATTATCTTTGAGTTCATAACTTGAATATATTTGTGCTTCTATCATTCATGTTTCTTTCTCTATGACATGATTTCAGAACTTCGATGCTGCTGTTGGAGACATAACGATCACAGCGGCAAGATCAGAATATGTCGACTTTACTCTTCCAATTGCACTTGGAGGGATTACCATCACACAGAAAATCGAGTTCGACGACAAAAGCAAGGATTTATTCACAAAGCCCCTCAATAAAAACCTATGGTTAACTGCCATAGCCCTGTTCATTTTCACTGGACTGGCTCTGTGGATTCTTGAACATCGGTTAAACCCAGATTTCCGAGGGCCCCCTTCAGAACACCTAGGCCTCATCTTTTACATCCCCTTCATGTCATTAGTGCATGCCAACAGTGAGTAATTAATCTTTCTTTCCTCCATTCAGGCACACACGTGGATGTCTTTAATTGTTGTTGGCTTATAGTAATCAATCATTTAAATATATACTTTTGTTGTAGGGGAAAAGATAGTGAGCAATTCAGCTCGACTGGTGTTAGTCGTTTGGGTGTTTGTTGTCCTGGTATTGAGTGCAACTTACACAGCAAATCTTTCCGCAAGATTTACGCATATCGAGCTTAAAAATGCCGACACGGATGTAAGTAAACTTACTAGAGGCGGATATTCTGTTGGGTGCCGCCGAGGCTCTTTCGTTTGTACGTTCATGAAAGGGCTTGGATTCAACGATTCGAAGATCCAGACTTATACAAGTCCAAAGGATTTTGATAGTGCCTTGAATAATGGCAGCATAAAGGCCATGTTTTCTCGCACTCCTTACACCGATCTCTTCTTATCCAAGCAGTGTAACAGGACGTGCATGAAAGTTGGCCCAACCTATCCTAGTGAGGGGTTTGCCTTTGTAAGTATTTGATTTCTTTCAACCTCTTTCACTGTCTATATTTTCATACTTGTAATAACAATCATTAGTTCTTTTCAAAAATTTACAGGTATTCCCCAAAGGGTCACCATTAGTAGCCGATGTCTCTCGTGCAATAATCAAACTGACAGAACGTCACAATATTTCAGGAACATATAAAAAATGGATAACAACTTTGGCACCTAAGAAATATGATCCCTCCGATTACAAATGGAGAAGTGTCAAACTGAAAAGTTTCAGAGTCCTGTTTGGAATAACAGCGGGGATCACAGGGACTTGCCTATTGGTATTTCTAGTCTCGTATTTCTACGAGAACAGAGATTTTGTTCGAAGGGTCTCTAGCTCCAGCGCCACTACTTGGTCCAAACTACGCTCAATTTCCAAGCACTTCGATCAAAGAGACCCCAGATCTTTTCGGGATCATGGCAGAGAAATTAGTGCGTCGCGAAATCAAAATGTGCATCACCACATTTGTACTTCCAGCAGGGAAGTAACGCCATCAAGTGAAAATATCAGGGTAGTGTAGTAGTAATTTGTTTGTTTGTTTATTTTCTTGACACACATACTTTGCTTGCTTTGCTTCGTTGGTTCAAGATTGTTTTACTCCTGAATTTTTAGCTTTTGCCTATCTATGTACTTGAAACTAATTACTACTCTTACACTACTGTTTGGTTACATTCAAACTCATTTCTCTTTCTATATTTTTATTGTGATTGTATTGGAAAAACTTCCGTTGTCGACCATGTAAATGATGCGTATAAACAAACAGCCTCTAATGATAATTGTCAGAGATACTTCTGAATAAGCACTGATGGCTGTCAAGAGGCTTGTGAACTTCTCTGTATTGCACGTATCAATATAATTCCAGCAAGTCTGCTACAAAGTTACTATTGTGACAATTGCTTTACTTTACTAATTTATGTTACACTCTAAATCGTCTACTTTTCTTGATATGTATATTCGAATATGTCATCCACGGCCCTAGTTCGTTGGTGTAGTCGACTATATGATTAGTTATCTAGTCATATTATCACATAGTCTTCTAATACATGACCAAACCAATACGCTATTTAAAGTATTATTGATTAACGTATGAAGATAGATATCACATTCAAACATTTTAAAAGTTGTGGAGTGGGTCATCAAGAATCAACCCTCAATTTAGCTATCAAGAACCGAGTAATTTTACTTGACAAATTGATAGAGATAGATAGCAACGGGACAGATTTATCAAAACTCGACATCTTCTCTCAATGTTTTTAATTGGTCCCGTACGTTAGACATATTTTATAATTATAAGATACTTGAGAAATATATTATCTCATATTACATGAATATAGTTCAAAAAAACGAGGTGCAATCTGAATTTAGACTCAGTCTACTATGAAAGAGTAAGAGTAAGGTCTATCTTAAGTGTTGATTGCATCCGACAGCTATATATGTTATATTAAATATTAAACTCATGTACAATGGGATTTTTTTATTTTTTATTTGGTTATGAGCTTCTCACTCATTAGAAGAGCCATGTTAGATTTTCCATTGACTTTAATTAGTCCGGAAATCTGGTACTCAAACATCATGTTGAATTCATCAACATCATGGAATTAAAGAGTAGTCAACCTCGAATTATTCATGAGTAGTTACCTTATTTTTATGGAGTTACAGAGGTAGTGATGCAACATCTATCTATATTTAATTGCCTGCCAAAGATTAGGATACAGGTTATAATTTTAGTGGACTTTTAACAATTCAAGATAATTATGCTAATGCATAAATATATGCATACACTGGATTGGATTGCCTGATCAGAAAATAAGATCAAAATTGCAGAACATGAAAATGCATGTATTCATCTCTCTCTCACTACTTAGTCTATTTCTATCATTGTGCAATTCACAGCGAAATACTACTTTTCAAGTTGGTGTTATTCTTGATGCAAATTCCACAAATGGACGCATAGGCAACACCAGCTTGTTATCAGCTCTCTCCGATTTTTATTCATCTCATGCCAATTATTCGACAAGAATTGTGCTTCATCCAAGGGATTCAGGAGGACGAGTCACCGGTGCTGCAACTAGTGGTATCTAATCTTCCCTTTTCCTACATATATATACTTGCTTTTTTTTGAGAACCGTGGGCATTATCAATCTATTACAAAAGTATATAATTATTTAGGGACTTATTAACTTTTCATCTCGATACTTGTGGTAGAAAAATGTTCAAAAGTTCACATTATTCTATCCTATGTATATATGCAGCTATCAATTTGTTGAAGGATGTACAAGTTGATGCCATAATCGGTCCTCAAACATCTACACAAGCATACTTTGTGATCGGCCTTGGAAATGCAGCAAACGTGCCGGTCGTTTCTTTCTCTGCGACAACTCCTACTTACTATCCTAAAGATTCCTATTTTGTTCAAACAGCCATAAATGATGGTGCTCAAGTTGATGCTATTGCCGCCATAATTAAGTACTTCAAATGGAGTCAGGTTGTTTTGATATATGAAGATTCAGATTATGGTATTGGCATTACTCCTTATCTCTCTAATGCATTCCAACAAGTAAATGCCCGAGTTTCATACAGAAGCGTTATCCCTATCTCTGCAACCGATGATTTCATCCTTCAAGAGTTATACAAGATGAAAACTATGCAGACAAGGGTGTTTGTGGTGCATACTACAAGCGGTCTTGCTTCTAGAATCTTCCTGAAAGCAAAGGAAGCAGAAATGATGAGTGAAGGCTATGTGTGGATTGTAACCACCGGGCTCATGAATTTGTTCTATTCATTGGATTCAAACATTGTAGAGTCCATGCAAGGAGTTCTTGGTGTAAGGCCTCTTGTTCCAGATATTAATCCAGAGATGAATCTTTATGGGCTATGGGCATACGATACTTTGTGGGCATTGGCTATGGCTGTTGAAAAAATCGGATTTAGGGAGTCGAGTTATTTGCAAAACACAAGTGTTTCTAACTCTAGCTATATGTTTATTACTGGAAAATCACAGACAGGTCCACAACTTCTCGCAGCAATGAATGAAACTAATTTCACAGGTCTCTCAGGGAAATTCCATTTGGTAAATGGAAAACTAGAGTCATCATCTTTCCAAATATTGAATATAAATGGAAAGAAGTTGAGAGAAGTTGGAATATGGACACCGTTACTGCAAAATTCAAGTCAAACAAATGCGAACGCGACAGGTCTTTCAGGTGAGAAATTGGAGATTATTATATGGCCCGGAGAATCGAGGAATGTTCCAAAGGGATGGGAGGTCCCAGTAAGCGGTAAAAAGCTCAGAGTTGGAATTCCAGCTGTAGCTGGTTTTCCAGAATACATAAAAGTAGAAACGGATCCAAAAACAAATAGTACCAAAATAAGTGGATTGTACATAGATTTGTTTGATTCTGTCATGGCTGCACTACCTTATGCAGTCAGATACGAATATGTCCCGTTTGTAAATTCCGATGGCTCAAGTGCTGGGAACTATGACGATTTGTCACGTGAAGTTCAAAATGGGGTAAGACATAAAACAAACATGAATTTTGTACTTATATTCCTGTTTGGCATGACCTTTATTTATTTTTTCTTTTCGGTACTTTATATATAGAGCTTTGATGCTGCTGTTGGAGACATAACAATCACAGAAATGAGATCAGAATATGTCGACTTCACTCTTCCGATTGAAGACGGTGGGGTTACCATTACACAGAATGTTTTTAATGAGGATAACAATGGAGCAGGAATATTCTTGGAGCCCCTAGAAGGTAAACTGTGGTTAACTGCCATAGCCCTTTTCATTTTCACCGGATTGTCTCTATGGATTCTCGAGCATAGGTTTAACGAAGCTTTCAGAGGTCCCCCATCGGAACATGTTGGCCTCATCGTTTACATCCCCTTCATGTCGTTAGTATTTGCCAACAGTAAGTAATTCTTGTACTCATAATAATTAACTAATCATACATAGTTTTTTTGAGGTTGTATTTGACTTTTAACAAGTTGTATTTATGCTTGTTGTAGGGGAAAAAATAGTGAGCAATTTAGCTCGACTGGTGTTAGTCGTGTGGGTGTTTGTTGTCCTGATATTGACCTCAACTTACACGGCAAATCTTTCTTCTATATTAACAGTACCCAAGCCTGTAAATGCTACCATAACTGTAGCTATGCTTGTCGAAAACAAAGACAATGTTGGATGCCGCGAAGGCTCTTTCATTATTCAATATTTGATAGGGCTGGGATTCGACGATTCCAAGATCATACGTTATAGAACTTCAGACGAATTTGATAATGCCTTGAGTAATGGAAGCATTAAGGCGTTGCTTTCTCGCACTTCTTACACCAATCTATTCTTATCCAAGTACTGCAACAAGTACGCGAGAGTTGACACAACTTATGACACCGAGGGCATTGCCTTTGTAAGTATTAATAAGAAAAAAATTCAACCTCTGCCTATATTTCAATACCAATACGTATATTTATAATTTATGAGATAACCTTGTTTTCCGAAAACTGACAGCTGTTCCCTAAGGGGTCACCATTAGTTGCTGATGTCTCTCGCGCAATCGTTAAACTAACAGATGACCAAAAACTCACTGAAATAAGGGGCCGTTGGATAAAAGAATCGACGTGCAAAGATACATCAGAGGACCATTCAACACAAATCAGCCTGAAAAGTTTCGCAATCTTGTTTGGAGTAACAGGTGGAATCACAGGGATTTGTCTTGTACTATTACTAGCGTCATATCTCTACAATAACAGAGATTTTATTCGGAGGGTCATCTCAAACTCTGGCACAACAACTTGGTCCAAAGTACGCGCGATTTCCAAGCATTTCGATCAGAGAGACCCTAAAGCTTTTCGTTCTAAAGAAGACGGAGAAAATCAAGATCGTTGTTGTAGCAGCACAGTAGTTTCGGTCACGTCAGATCAAGAAACGGCAAGTGATAATGGAGACCTCAGTCCGAATTCAGACCACATAACTGCAGCTGCACATCAGCCACGTTATTGTCCAGATGTGTGACTATAGTACATTTCTGAATGGTCTTTGTCTCTATGAGAAATTTGCTCGAGAACATCCGATTGAATGATGAAACTCTATTACATTTTTATGTGTGTGTGTGTATATGTGACTTTTATTAATTGGGGAGGTATTATACGGAGGTGAACGAAATGCTGCAGCCTGCAGGCAACAAAGAAGACAGAGATTTGCCTATTGGAATTGACGTGATTTTAGTCCAATCATTATTTTAATTTCTGATATGTTTAATATTGTTTCAATTTATTGTAAGTTTTTGTATTTATTCCATTTGTTAGTATATTGAAGCCCTAGCCTATTGATTTGAATCATTATTTTTGTACACGTTATTCATGGGTTGATTCTATCCGACAATTGACCCCTTTTCGACCTCTAAACTTTTTTTGTTAATTAACCGTCAAACCGTCTCATTCAATGTACAGTTGAGTCGGTATCGAAGATCTGTAATATTAATAAGAACTCGATATCGAAGATCTTACCTCCAGGGACATCGATCGTGTGCATGCCAACATCGTACAGCACCTCCGAAAGCATCCAAGTTATGGAAGATCACTGGATTTCGCCATTCGGATTCCAATTCCAGTCCCTCTGTAAGCAAACTGAAGTTCAATGTGGAATTGCGTCGGGTTCCCATAATAGCAAATCCACCACTTAAGAGGACCCTGCACCCGAAATATGGCACAATATAATTTACCTTAAAACTGAAAACAAATAGTATATCATGCATAAATAGATCAATAGGATTTAGTGCGTAAATTCATATACACATAAGCCTCGTGCACCCGCTCAACATTCGATTTTTCTCGTATAATAATAGCTGCCTTTCGAAAGAGCAAAAGCAGGGGCTGCAACAGTAATTAGCATGTTTATGTCACTACATAAACATCCAAAGAAGAAATACCTCAACTGCAATTGAGCTTCTTGAAATTCAACCAATCCAAAATAGAATCATTGTTCCTTTTTCATCATCCAATAAAAATCCAACACTAACGGCGTCGTTTTCAGCTAGCAATATCTCAAATTCCCCTTTCTTCTTTAAGACCCGACCCCTAATTCGAGCCAATTGATTTCTTCTTCCCTTTCTACCCCAATTCCATATTTCTCAATTGTGAGCAAATGTGCCATTTATGGAACTTAACCAGCCACCAATACCGACCCATCCACCAGGAACAAATGGAGCGGCCGGCAGCACCACCAAAGATCATTATTAAGGCTACATTTTATTTATTATTAGAAAAAAACATGTATATTGTATTCTTAAAAAATTAAACTAAAATATTCAGTCAGTTTCTTTCGTTGAAAAAAATGTATGGTAGTTATTTTATTTTGAATATTCGTGAATTAATGTTGATCTAACGACAACTACTACGGCAATTAGAAATTACACAAGGTAGGTTATTGCAAAAAATAAACAATTTTGGTACCTCATGCAACGTGATCCAGTTTACTTCAACAAGTCAAAATGAAGTCTGCTCGAAAAAATAATAACATGTAAATATTATGTTATAACAAATTTTATTTGCGAAATACATTTCCTTTTCAAATCCGTTGCACAACAAATAGCATGCCGCCTCTGGCGATCGTACAACTCCGAACTTCTCTGTAAAGCATTAGTGCCATAACTTTCTTTCGCACAATAAAAATGATAATCGGTCTGTGTATCGATAAAAACCACATCAAGTGACAGGGCAGCAACCTTGATTAATTGCATAATGAACTCATCTTCACTTCTGAGCCCAATGTACCCACACATTTCAATCACCTTCAGATTTTTATGACGAAATCCACCTGTCGTCGCTGACGTCACAACCGGAAAAAGCTCCATCCTTCCTCCCTGTCATGAACAAGAACAAAGTACTAAACTAATAAATATGAGTTTCACAAAAGTATTAAACAAAACAAATATGTATTTGATAAAAGCCATACATTTAATCTGAGTGCTGTAGATTGTTGGTCGTAAGTGAAGTACTCTATCTGCAAAAAAAAAACATTAGGAAATTAAAAAATAAAATAAAAAATACACGCTTAATTACAAATTTCATATGGATATCATATTTTAACATGCAACATAAAAATTAGATATTTGCACATTTCACCTTGATTTTAAACTTCCGTAAGTTAGGAGATGCCTTGATCAATGATGTGAAGAAGAAAAGGCTTCGGCAACCTATTGACACAATATTCAATTCGAGCCGCTCGAGAAAGTATAACTTATGCAAATCAGGAGAAGCGATTGGTCTCTCACGACCCTAACAAAAGCATTAAGACAAGAAAAAGTTATCGAGTTTAGTTACAATTAGCTAAGATTAGTTATTCATTACATGAGAGAGCATAATACCACGGTTTGAAAATTCAGTACAAGCTTCACCAGTTGGTCTGAATAACTCGAGTGCTTGTTAGGTTCATACGCGAACGAATGACAAAACTTCCCGCCTAGAGTTAGCTCAGTTAGATTTGGAGTATTCTTGAACGGTGAACTGATTTTCCTTCCTTGATATGTACACGAGACAAGATTTGTGGCATATATCTCCATACTTCTAATGTTCAGACAGTTGGATATTTCCAATTCCCTCAAGTTTGGTAATGAACCAACAACTTCAAGATTCATTGTAGCATCGGAATCCCTTATGCATAAATGTTCGATATAAGGACACGAGGCTAAAAGATACCGAATCACTTCATCATCGATATCAACATCAACCAACTTAAGGCATCTTAGAGAGCCAAAAGCGGAAGATGGTGATAATAATAACAGCTCCTCAATGCTGGGAAACTTGTAACAACAATGGAAACCATCATCCACTGAAAAATCCAATTCAAATCCTTTTACTTTCTTTCGCATTGCAAAATGTATCCAACTATCAATTTCACTGGTTCTAAATTGATAGCATAAATTAGTAAAACGAATTACTAAATTATCAACCCGCGAACCCTGATGCAAGTTGAGCACACGATTCACCAAAGCTTTGAACTTTTCCCTTTTCATTATCTTTCCAGTCGAAGTATTCCAATCATCAAAATCCAATGTACCAGATGTAAACATCCACAAATATCTCCATCTCGAGGAAAGAACACTTGTTCTAACAACATCCTTGAGGCTCATACAAGACAGAACGGCAATCAGAATATCATCATGCAACTTATCAATCCCAGTACCAATCTACATGATTAAAATTTACAAATTCTATTAGTCTTCATCATGCAACTTATCAATCCCAGGAACAATGTACATGGTAAAAATTTACAAATTCTATTAGTCTTCAACACTACGTATATAAATTAATATAGTCGGAACTTGCAAAATACTATTTATTTAGCAAAAAAATTATCGAAGTAGTAATTTAATACGTTTTTACCGAGTCGCGACTATGAGAAATTAGTATTTAAGCAATTAATATCGAGGTTACACTGCATGAAAAAAAAAATTATCAAACTAAATAAATATAACCACAGCTGCAATTTCGAAAATAAAAATAAAAATTCCCAACAAACCTCCTGTTTATGCTTCTTCGTCTCCATCTTAATCACAAGCCTCGGTGAATTAATGTGGCAAAAGATGACATTTTTATCAGCTTCGAATAAAAAAAGAAAAATAATCAATTGCTGTTATAAATATACAATATGAAAATTATGTCGGAAATTCAACTGAATTGTGCTCAACAGGCCTCAAACTTTTGACATTAGGTACGTTACCAATCTGAATTAGCGAGAAAGACGAACAATTTCATGTCGATTCAACTTCTGAAATTAGGTTAAAGAAAAACTTAATTGGATCCTACGTCGTTTAGTTTTAAAGCATGTTTTTGAATTGAAAGCCCAAACACGTCATTAGGAAAAGATTTTCCATCCCTTAAATTTACAATTTTTTGACATTTGGTCCCCTATGTTTTCAAAATACATATTTGGTCTCTTATGTTTAAAAAAATCAGCACTTTTAGTCATTTCCGTCAATGTTTCATTTGTACTGACGGAATCAAGCATGTTCCTATGGCTTCCTTAGCTGACTATCTAACGGTAAATTGGGGAGCAACCAACAGTGTTAAATTACTGAAACATAAGAGACCAAATATGTTGTTTTATGAACATAGAGGACCAAATATGAAATTGGTGCAAACTTGATGGGCAAAAACTGTAATTTTCCTAATTCATTATTTCAATTCTTAATAAGTTTTGTGAGAAAACATGTTATTCATTAGTTATTTTAAGTTTTGTGAGAAAACATGTTATTCATTAGTTATTTTGAGAGCCAAACTTCCGGATTTGGGTGGCGAGATTAAAGCTCGATGGTGATAACGAAGGTTGGTTTTGCATTAATGACTCCAGATTTGGGCAAGTCCCCATATATTTGGCAACTCCATTCATAATCCAACAATTAGAGCTTGTATGAAGTATGAACTCCCATGGAAGACGATAAAAATTAAAATCCCTCTTTCGTTTATTTGTTGAATTGAAGGGTATTTTGGACAAATTACATATTCGTCCAATTCATGAAAAACCAAACATGACATTCTTATCCAATCCAATATCAAAAAAAAAAAAATCTCAGTTTCAATGGTGCATATTATTAATAGTTATAATAACATATAATTATTATGTTATAACAAATTTTATTTGCGATATGCAAGTCCTTGCCAATCCCTCCGCACGGTACATCGCGTACAGCCTTAACTGGCAGTCCTGCCAGTCTGGACTTGTCCCAAACCGGTCATAATTTTCTTTCGCATGATGATCAGTTTGTGTATCGATAAAAACCACATCCAGTGATGGGGCAACCTTAATTAAATGCAAAATGAACTCATCTTCACTTGTGATCCCAACATACCCGGACAATTCAATCACCTTGAGATTTTTATGTTGAAATTCAGCTGTCATCACTGATGAAACAACCGGAAAAAGCTGCGTACTTCCTCTCTGTCATGAACAAGAACAATGTAGTAGTTAATGGAACATTACTAAAGTAATAAATTTGAATTCGACAAAAACCAGAATTTTAATCTGAGTACCTTCAATAGTTGGTTGTATGTCAAGTACTCTATCTGAAAAGAAAAAAAAAAATAAAAAAAATAAAAACATTAGGAATAGGATTCTTTCCTATAGATTGAAAGTTAATTTTCTACTATTTGTGCAAAAAAACTATAGTGGGACAAAACAGAAAACTAAAACATAGACGATAAAATGTTTGCAGTAGACGAGCTATTCTAGCAAGTCTAAGTACATCATTGAAGTTGGTTTTTGTACATTCGAGCTGATCTAGAGGAAGAACTCCGTGTATTATAATACGACCCCCAAAATAACAGGATATTTCATTCAAACAAGTTGAAAAACGAGTATGATTACAAATTTCAAAAGCTAAGTAAAGATTGATAGGCATTCTCAAGCAAACACGAACAGAGTTACGTTCATAATGCAACTGTATGGATATGGTAAAGTGAAGTTTATATGTTAAACATGTACCATAAAGTCAGATCACGGTATTGAGAACATTTTACCTTGATTCTAAACTCTTGTAAGTTAGGAGATGACTTGATCAATGACGTGAAGAATAAAAGGCTCCGGCAATTCATTGACAAAACAGTCAATTCGAGCCGCTTGAGAGAGTATAACTGATGCAAATCAGGAGAAGCAATAGTTCTCTCACGACCCTAACAAAAGAGTTAATAAATACAAGAAAATGTTATTGGTAGTTATGATTCCGAAGATTAGTATTTCATTAAAGATAATGGTGGCTTGACCACCTACCACGGTTTGAAAATTCAGCACAAGCTTCACCAATTGGTCTGAATAACTCGAGTGTTTGTTAGGTTCATAAACGAACGACTGACAAAACTCTCCTCCAAGAGTTAGCTCTATTAAATTTGGAGTTGTCTTGAACGGTGGACTGATTTTCCTTCCTTGATATGTACACGAGACAAGATTTGTGGCAGATATAATCGGAGGTTGCAACAATCGGATATTTCCAATTCCTTCAAGTTTGGTAATGGATCAACAATTTCAAGATTCTTCGTTGCTTTGTTAGAAGCCCTTATGCATAATTGTTCTATACAAGGACACGAGGCTAAAAAATAGTGAACAACCTCGTCCTCGATATCAACATAAGCCAATCTGAGGGATCTAAGAGAGCGGAAACCAAACGATTTGACTTGATCGGAACGTGATAACAACTTTTTAATGTTAGGAAACCTGTAAGGGAAACAAGGGAAAATGCCTTTCTCCACAGATAAATTCAATTCGAAGCTTTTTACTTTTTTTTGCATTGCAAAATATATCCAACTATCAATTCCACTGGTTCTAGCTTGATAGTATAAATTAGTACTAAAACGAATAACTAAACTATCAACTTGCGGACCCCGATGCAACTTGAGCACACGATTCACCCAAGCTTTGAAATTTACCCTTTTCATTATCTTTCCAGTCGAAGTATCCCTATCATCAAACTCCAATTTTCCAGAAAACATCCATAAATATCTCCATCTAGAAGACAGAACGCTTGTTCTAACGGCATCTTTGAGGCTCATGCAAGATACAATGGCAATAAGAATATCATCATGCAACTTATCAATAATCCTTTCTCCTTTCTACATAAAAAAAATTACAAATTTTATTAACCTGAAAAAAACTATGAAACTAAATAAATATATAAAAAAAAAAAAAAAAATCCCAACAAACCTTCATTCGTTTCCTTGGGTTTTGTGTATCTGGATCGACCTTATGCTTGTTCATCTCCATCTTTGAATGAATAAATGTGGCAAAAATATGTAATTTTTACCATCAAGTCTGAATTTTACGAGAAAGAAGAAAAAAAACTTGACTGGATATTAGGTAATTTGTTTGTACTATTTTTTTTTTTATCATAGACTAGTAGCCCATATATTTGAACTTTGAAAGCCCAATACTAATTACTGGGCCCTGGCCTACATGTGATTCATTATTATTGCCGGTCCAAGAAAATTGAGGTGTAATTATGATTCACACCAAATTATGATTCAAAAATAATGCCAAAAAGATAATTAACTAAAAAAGTTCATATGGCAAAAAGGTGAATCATAATTCATAAAAGTGCCGTTATTCCTCTCTCTTAAATCTAGATATATTTAAATTTGGACATGGTTTATATTTCACTAAAATAAAATAAATTATTGAAAATTAACTTGTGAGTAAATTTTGTATAGTGTGATGAACTCAGAAATTATGTTTTTGGAGAACAGAACACCCATATTTAATTATGAATAAAGCTGTATGTATGTATACGCCAACCATTGCGAATAGCAGATGTATTATGTAAAGAATATGAACATAGGAAATAGTTGGTTTACTTTTCAGAAGATAGGATTATTATTGAAAAAACATGTGTTCTATCTGTAATGGTACTATTGTAATTTTGCTAGCTGTTTGTATTTTTGTATTGAAATCAGCAATGAAGATTATGTGATGCAATTGAAATCGAACCATCAAACCTCGGATTTGGTTCGGCAAGAAAAACGTCATCGAAATCGAACCATAAAACCTTGGATTCTGTGATCTTTTTAATTACAGTAGTTCCCCATTGTCGAAAAACCAACGGCTAAATTTGCCTTCAGATTTTCAAAATACAATGATAGTTTTGTGGAATAAACAAGTTTTTGGCCATAAATTTTCAAAATACAATTAATTCTTCTTCTGTTTGATCTGCTGATGATGATTGTCTGTAAATTGGGTGCGCACTCTCTTTAATCGAAGCGCGGAAATCTTATTTGTCAAATTTGTTTTTAAATAAAAGTACAAACATATCTAAGTAAAACTAAATATCTACATATTATGTTATGAGAAATTTTATTTTGGAAGCAATACTCGATGCCAATTTCTCAGCATGTATTTTTGCGTGAAACCTTGTCATAGTCGTATTCTTCTGCTTATTATTCTCGATTGGCTTTTCCCATTCTTCTTCTGTCACTCTATACATAACCCAGTCCGTATTCAGATAATAATCGCAGTTTGTATCGATAACGATCTTCTCAAGTGATTGCTCGGCCATCTTCGACAGCTGCACAAGGAAATCTTCTTCACTTGCACACCCACAATACCCAACCATTGTAACCACCTTCAGATTTTTATGGTCAACCCCATTTGACTCTACTGTACTTACTTCAGGAAACGGCATCATTATTCGTATCTATCAAAATGAAAAACATTAAATAAATACTCGTTAAAATGAATTCGATAAAAGAAAGAGTTGAATTATGTACCTCAGAATCTGTATACCCTGGGACTGTAACTATGTAGTCTATCTGTCACAATATGAAACATATCTCAGTATAGTTAAATTGAAACTGAAATAACTATCAACATAAAATATACTTTGCCGTGAAAACATTCACCTGAATCCTAAACTCTCGTAAGCGAGGAGATGCCTTAATCAATGATGTGAAAAAGAGAAGGCTCCGGCCAACTTGCGACTCAATATTCAATTCAAGTCGCTCGAGAGCGTGCAACCGCGGCAAATCAGCTGGAGCAATTGTCCTCTCACGACCAAATGGAAACTGAGGAATGAAATTGTTAGAAATTATTTTTAATTAATACGAGCGATCGATTATAAATTTATAATGCACACTACCTCAGCTTGAAGGATCAGTGCAAGATTCTTTAGTTGAAATGAATAGCTGGAGTGTTTGTTAGGTTCGTAAATGAAGGACTCACAAAACTCCCCACCAAGAGCTAGCTCAAAGAACATTGGTGTTCTCTCGATTTGCAAGCTGATTTCGCTTCCTTGGTATGTTAAACAGAAAATATACTTGGCAGATATCTTGATACTTTGCATGTTCCAGCACTCGGATATTTCCAATTCTCTCAAAAATGGTGATCGACCAACAACTTCGACATTTTTCGTAGTGTTGGAGCCTATTATGCAAACCTCTTCAATATGATAACACGAGTCCAAAAAATACCGAACCACCTCATCCTCGATATCAACCTCAACCAATACGAGCGATCTTAGAAACTGGAAAGAAGGCGTAGAACAACTCGAATGTGATAATAGAAACTCGGGAAACTTATAGCCGAAATCTAACCACACATCACAACTTGAAAAATTCAATTCAAACGATTCTACTTCCTTTCTCATAGCAAAATATATCCACTTATCAATGTCTATTGATCGATCTCTTACATTACCATAACGAATAATAAAACTTTCAACTAGCGGACCCTGATGCGACTTGAGGACATGATTCACCAAATCCTTGAACTTCGTCTCGTCCATTTTAGTTCCGGTGTCAGTATACATATCATCGAATTCCAATGTCTCGGAGTTGTATATCGAAGTATGTTTCCATAAATATCTCCATCTAGAAGAAAGGACACTAGTCCTCACAGCTTCCTCAACGCCCATACGAGACAAAATTGCAATAAGAATATCATCAGGCAATTGATCGATCATACAATTATTTCTACAACTCTGTCAATTCAAATGTGCACAGCACAACACAACAAACAAACAAAAAATTAGGGAAAAAAAACCGACAATTGGAAATAATGAAAGGCCGGTTGGGGAACCTGGTTTCGTGAAGTCCGGTTTTGATTAATTGTGTTCAGTAAAGCTGAATTAACATTAAGCTTAAGCTGCTGAGAAGAAGTTCCGTCCATATTAACGAAAAATATAAGCTCAGAATAATAATATATTATTAGGTTAATAGATGGCGGAAGTAGCAGTGAGGAAGAGAAGGAAGTTTGTAATCTTTATTGAAATTTCAATTGGGCCTTTAATATATATATATATATATCCTTCTCTCTCTTGTGGGTTTTGATTTGCATGGCCCACTAAAATTACAATGTTCAAATTGTGACCTCTTTACGGTTTAAAAAGTGCTATTTACCGTTCAAAACAAAAAAGTGTTTATCTCTCTAAAACCCCTAAAATTTTCGAAAAAAATGGACGAACGCCCAAGTCAGGCGCCCGCCGCCTGAACAGACGCCCAAAGTGGGCGTCCGTTCAGGCGACGGGCGCCCGACTTGTGCGTGTAAATAGTTTTTGGA